GCTGCACTGCAGGGAACAGAAATTTTCGCTCTGTTGTTTGTTTGTTTTTAAATCCAAACTCCTTGTACCATGTGACAAGCTGCTTAGGAATTTCCAAAGCAGTTTATGATAAAGGGTAGAAGATTGCTGTCTGAGATAAAAGGGCACCCATACAAGCCTTTGCAGACAGCTAAAAAGACTTTAGATTGGGATGTGTACAGGGGGCTGCAAGGTGACAAGGTGGTTTCTTACTGGGCATTGAAATAAATGTCAGCCAGTTGCTAGTTTGAGCAAAGATCAGCCCTATCAAACATGAATGTGGCAAAGTCTTGTGAAATTTCTGTTCATCTTTCCCGGGCATTCTTCTGTTCCCAAACACGGTTGACAGAATATAAAAATGTAAATGGAACACTTTGTTCTAACTGCTGTTCAAAGTAAAGGTGACTAACCTGTGGGCAGTATCCAGCCTCCCTGCCCCATGTTTTGTGCCCCTCAAGATGTCCCCAAATTTGTTGATTTTTGTTGAAAGGCAAAATTATCCCCCCCCATTTTTCTAGTTGTTAAAAATGTGTTAACATTGACTAACTCTAGTGTGATGCCAAATTGTTTTTGTGCCCTTCATGCTCCCTATTGGTCCATTTTATTGTTATTAATTACCATTCCTGAGGATCTCCTCCTGTGATTCTATGGTGCCTAATAATTATTGTGACACCAACCCCCCAACCCCCTTCTCTAATTCCTCCTTTAAAAATAGTTAATGAATGATACATAATTTAAAACAGTGCAGAATAGCAGATGGGAAAGTATTTTGGAATGTAGACTTGATAACTGCAGTTCTCACTTTGGCCCAGTGCAGTTGAAGCAGAGAAATCTGACATGGCATCACCAGCCTGATAGGCTTTCATACTGGCCACTGAGGCCGTGAAGCCATTGTCAGCATATGTGGTTGTATTAGGACAATGTTACTCGTATGCCTGCCCCCCTTTCAAAAAAAGGAAAAACCATTTCTAAGGAACAGCATTGAAGCTCATCAGATTGAACTTCAAAGAATTGGTTTGCTAACCCTAACCCTGATACAGAGTGGAGGCTGGTGCTAAAATCTGTTATTTCGGGTTTTGTGAGCCATTTTTGAGCAGAGGCAGAGCAATGCACCCAAGGTAGGACAAGAAAGAAAACGGCTGGCCTGATCTAATATAATTCCACCCACCAAGAGCAAATTATCCAGCCATCTTGTGTCTGTGTCACTGCTAGACAGAAAATAATTGACAATCACGAACCCTTAGAATATGCCAGTCCTAACCATTTCACCTTTGTTGCTGTCTGCCTTGATTTTGCCATTTTTATGGAGAAATGTTCTGAAATGCATGTACTTATGCTCGTAAATTAACGTTTTCACCATCTCTTCACTTCAAAAGGATTGCTATCGCAGGAATGGGAATAGATCGCGTTCCACTTTATGTTGGGCATTACAAAATGATAGACTATGGACAAGCTGCTGAACGTGTACAGAACCTTAAAAGGTGAATACAGATTTTCTTCTTTCCATGACCGGTTTTACATGCACTACACTTCCCAGCAGACAGGGCTTGTAACACATTGCATCCGCACCAGATCAAACCACACCCTCACCCTTGAGCCAGGATATATATTTAAGTAGTTGAGACTTACAGTCTTTGGCACCTCAAATTCATTGTTTATCAATGCAACTACCAGCAGGATGGAGCAAAATATTTAAATATCTTATTGGTAAACATCTCCCCAACAGCCAGAGTTGAGGCATTCCAGCAGCTCTACTGGAATGCAGATAAATGAAGAGCAGAGGTGCCTATCAGCTACATCATCTGACGCAGAAACTCTTCTCAGCCTTAGCTGTTGTGGCTGCTTTGAGCTGAGAGATACTGTATATGCTCAGAGGCACACCAAGCAGATTACTGGACTGCCCTCGGTTCATAGCACTCAGATAGATTGAAAAATATGCCGCTCTTTGGCTGCACCTGGCCCTTTTGGTTTTGAAGGCTCTGCTTGTGAAGGTATTCAGTCTGCCACCAAATTTCCCGAAAGAGCCTCATGTGCTTAATAGCACATTCCTGGGTGAGGCACCTCCTGCTTGGAAGTTTTTCTTTGCAAGAATTCGCCTATGTATTCATGTTTCATAATGCTAGAAAATTTCCTCTTCATCTCTGCTGAAAAACCTAGACCTGTAACATTGATATCTCATTAGCATTTTTCTCTCTCTACTGTCCCTGCCTCACATCATTCCACCTTTACTTTCCCCTCTAGGCCTGCTGAACTGAACACTAAAAAAACGTGGAGAGATGATGGGATGAATTCTTTGGAATACAAACTCTTGGGAAAGAAGAAGTACCGTCTGTATGTTAACATTACTGTGGATATTGGGGCTGCACCCGTCCTACCACCTGAGGGCAAAAGCAAAGGAAACAAAGCCTGACTCTGGCAGATTTGACTCTTGCAATGCTGGAGTTTGCTGGGTACAAAAAGATTGTGTGGTACGCAGACATGAAGATGCATTTTTAAAGCTTCTATTTACAAGTAAAATAATAATAAAGTCACCACAAATGAACACGCGAGTATTAAGCTTGTGTATTTTTGGAAAAGCATGCAGCCATTGTAAAGTGCGATGTCTACTGAACCCTGCACTCTTACTCACCTGCACAGTTCTTGAAGAGCAAGTGTTAGATCTTATAACAGTTACACTGTGATGTGGATACTTGGCATTACTGTATCCTCTTAACCGTATGAATGTAACGTAAATTTATGTGTTTGTTCTATTTTTAGACATCTTTTGCATTATAAATTCTGTTCTCTTGCACCAGTGTTAATGCTTTAAGGTGGCAGTTAAGTATTAAATGTGTTTCAAAGTGTTAATTTTGTAAAAGTTTATTTTTCAATGAATTTAAATAAACTGCACTGAGTATTAGCGTTTTGTCTCAGCTGCAATCATTACCTGCTTTTCTGAAGAATCATTTCTCTCCTTAGAGGCTTTGCATTGCTCCAGAGGTTTCTGATATACAGTACATGGCAAGGGAAGACTATAGCCTATGAGTTATTTGCCTCCTTCCCATATAAAAGAGCACATGGTCATTTTACAGTAAGGCATGGGTGTTAGGAGCCAACTCCCTAGTTCACATTCCTCCCTAAAGCAATTCCATCTTAAACGGAGATAAATGATAGTGAGGTGTGAGAGTGGCCAAGGTTTGCACCCCACGTGCACTTTTGTTGTAAAAATTAAGACACCTGCTTCTAGGTGTATGTAGCTCTGTTGCGCTTGGCTATATTCATAGAATCATAGAATTGTCAAGTTGGAAGGGACCATGAGGGTCACCTAGTCCACTTTGAGACCATGCACAATTTAATCGCATGTCAGAATGCTGGGTTTTGCTTTACAGAAGGTGCTTCTGTGTCTTCCATTAGGGCATTCTGTACTGTGCCTCTTTTCCTCAGAGCATCCCTGATATGGATCAGTCAGCTCTTGGGAATACGCTGCTAAACTTTCTGGTACCAACTCGATTTTTCTTTTCTTTTTCCCCATAAGCCTCTAGCAGAATTAATAACCTCTTCTTTCTATTCAAAGCCGTCAACAGAAGCCTTTACTCCATCGCTTCATTATGCCTTGAGATCTGATGACTGTGCTATAAACAGGCGGTGATCATCTTTACTTATTTCAGTGCAAATGGCAGGGGGACTTGACATATGAGAGATTAAGCATTTGCAAATTGCTTATGCAGTGCATTCAGTAATGTACAGCGAAGATGCATCAGTACTTCATCTTGTGTAGAACAACCATATTACAATGTTTGTTAGGTGTGAAGCAGGCAACAGGAATGCAGGGTAGCCCTGTGTACTGACAGCATTCCCCCTTCTGCACAATTATTCTGAAGGAAGCGTCTGGCTTGCATAGAGAAGGTCCCTGGCTCAATCCCTAGCATCTTCAAGTAGGCCTGGAAAAGGCTGCCTGACTGAAATCTTGGGAGAGCCACTGCCAGCTAGTATGGACACTGGAGAGCTAGATGGACAATAGTATGACTTGTTATGAGACAGCTCCCTATGTTCTTAAGGGAGCTGCTTCAATAAGGGCAGGGTTTGCTCCACAGGGATGCAAATGATCTCCCTTTTCCCATGCACATAAAAGCTCTCTTCAGCTAGTCGATTATGCATTGTGCAGCATCACTGAGGGTGAGGCAAACACAAGTTCCTATTGGTCACTTCACCCACAAAATACGCATTGCATATAGGCGGTGGCCATTTTGCACAGGGGTTGCATTCCTGACCCCCACATGTGTCGGCGGAGCACGTGTAAGCAGTGATGCACGCATGCGCAGACAGTCGTGGCCTGTATCTGCCTTGCATACTGTGGGGAACTGAAAGCATATCCATTAAGTGAAGTGACAAATGGTATCTACGGAGCGATTTGCAGACAGACAACTTGAAATTGTAACAACAAAGGCTTAATCATAGGAGCAGGCCTAATGAAGTCTATGTGACTTAGTCATGACTTGATGTAAGTCTCAGTGATTTATCTATTCTAAGCATTACAGCCCACTTTCATTTTGAACACCCACCCAAATCCAATAACTATTTTATTGAAAAACGCTCAGGATCAGTGGGCAAATATCAGTTGTATAATTTCTTCAAAATGGAAAACATTTCCTTCTAGGAACTGTTGAAACTTCACTCCCCCTCCCCGAAAACAAATTCTACTTTTAGTACCGCGGCCTGAAATGCATTAGAAGATGCACCTAGAAGCTACACAACCACTTTGTCATGCCCCCCCCCCCCGGCAGTTGTTTCCAGACCATTTTACATGTGTGCATTATGCCTTTGAGGAACTGCATGGAGGAGCTTCAATATTTACTTCCACAACCTCTCACTCTGCATTCTCTTGCTGTCCTTAGGCAACGGCACCACAAACATTTTTACAAACCAGCTGCAGAATTAAATAAGGTTTCTCACGCACCCTTAAGCTGACAATGTAATTGGAAAGCTTCACCAAGACAATGGAATACTTTTCAATATGCTCCATATTTTATTGCAAGTTTTCAAATCTCCCTCATTCTCCCTGTGGGTATTCTTAACACGATGGCATCAGATACCTTTACCTCAGGAGGTAATGATGAATGCTTGTTCAACTGGCTGAAGAAAAAGCCATTTCCAACAGGGCTATCCTATTTAAAAGAGTATTGCCCATTGGATGAAGAAGCCCTTTAACTTTGCACCTTGGAAAAAGCATGGCAGTATTGTCCTTATATCCTTGTTTCCACTTTAAAATGGTGGAGATTCAACATCAGCTATCAAAACAGATAGCTTTCAGGCAGTGGAAGTCAATTCCCTCCAGAGGAAGGAATTAATATTTTTAATCAAAGAAAAAACCATGATCATAGAGTTATTCAAGTTAACCGCAGTCGCCAACTGGCCAGTACTGTCCTGAAGTCCAGGAAGAAACATCTAACAAAGCTACTAGAGATCGGGTACGGGGGGAACCCTATTCTTCCCCCTGTAATGTACTTGATTCTGGGGAAACCACCAACAAAAAGGTAGGTGCTTGCTCTCGGCCCTGGAAATTGTCTTCCGTTATCCATACTGTTCATTAGGCACAAGAGATGGTTATGAAATCTTGGTCGGCGTGCCAAAGTCCACTGTGATGTTGGTGTACAAAGGGTTGTGTTCCACGGAGAGCAGCTTGTAAGTGCAGGAGTTTAGCCCATCTGTTTTCCACACTTGAGATACCTGACGCAAGAGTTTCATTCTGAACAATTAAAAATAAAAATGGGTAGGGTGGGGTGGAGAGAGAACAGAAAAGAGGGCATCATGAGGGTTCTGTTTTAGAGACAGGTACGCTATGTAAAACTCTGAAAGCAGATGAATCTTAAGTTCCAGTGGCCGAAGATGCAAACTGCAGTTTAAGAGGCAATACAGACCTGAGCAAGGACAACTTCTATATATGATATATTGTCAGGCTTGGTGTTTCACAATCCATTCATATGGGTACCGTGCCCACACTATGCTTAGACCAGGGGTAGTCAACGTTGTGCCCTGCAGATGTTGCAGGAGACAGTGCCCATCATCCCTGACCATTGGAAATGCTAACTGGAGCTGTTGGAAATTTTAGTCCAAAACTTCTGGCACCATAATGGCCACCCTGGCTTAGAACCGTATGTCACATTTTCCCCCATTTCCCATCCACCTAGTTTTACTACCATAATATGACCTCATTGACTCACCTCTGTCGATTTGCTTCGTTGCCTCGGTCTCTCGTGTGGAAGATCATCGTGTATTTGGCCACATGAGGAGAAGGCCGAATAACCTTCATCTTCTGCATTTCAACTCTAAATGCAAATATAGCAATGATTTGCAAGCATGTCATGGAGATTGGGGGGGGGGGGTGAGGCTTGAGAATGATGATCAGAACCTCCCAACCTCCCTCAGCTCAAAACTATAAAACAATAGGAATCTGACTCACACTCCCTCTAGTGCATCAGTGCGCAGGTCCCTATAAACTTCAACTGAAATGACAGCCACACTGCGCATTTTTGTACAAGCTGTAATGGAAAACCCTTAACTGTTACCTCTGCTATTAAAAATGTGGGGCACCGTCTCAAATTTTCAGATATCCCTCAATGGGGTGGGGCAAACTTTGGGGCCTTTTAAATTCATTTAGCGCTTCCAATCTGGCTGTGCAAATAAGAGAATCAAGGCTAGCAAGTGCTAGTTTGCTTCTTCCTAATCCGATTTCCTTGTGGGTGGGCCATAGACAGGTTGTCCATCCGCTGATTTAAAAAACCATCATATTCTGGTTAGAACCCCACTTCACCCAAAGGTATGTACTGAAAGAGTTCATGGGGGAGGGGGACGCAGCTTGCACCTGACCTTAGCTGTTGAGTATAGCAGATTAATTACATACTGTATCTTTAGGTGCCAGGTGAAAAGGTTTTTCTATATCCAGGCCTTTGGCTGATTAACATTCTATGGCCTTTAAAATGTCTTTGTGGGAGGTGGGCTCCTGACCCCTGGGTGTAGACAATACTGAGCTAGGCAGACCAGTGGCTTAATTCGATATAACATAGCTTCCTATTTTCCTATAGTGCACATGCCAAACAGAGACACTCAGAGCTGTAAAACAACCAGTGAAAGAAAACCAATAATGATGGTATTGCAGCTCAAGACTTCATTTGCTTAGGGATTCTAGGCAGTCACGTTGAAGGGACAAAATCCACGGAAGGCTTTTTACAATTAGAAGCAGTTTGCTGAAGGACAAGGCCTAACTCATCACTAGTAACTAACAGACTCAAAAAGCAGCGCGTCAGTACAGCACTGAGCAAAAACAAGTTCTAAAAAAACACACCAAACCCAAACAAAAAAAAACCCAAACCCTTTCCCACTCTGCTTTATAACCCGACTTCGTTTTGTAAGAGTATAACAGAGGGAACTGCTGCCCTCTATTGGACTCATGGATGACAGCAGCACCAAGGACATTCTTTTTGAGTATGGACGTTCTCTAGCCCAGTGGTTCCCAATTAGGGGTCCGGGGATCCCTAGGGGTCGAGAGGACACACACCCAGGGGGTCCCTTGCCATAGACTCACTTATCTTGTTAATTGCACAGTAAAAGTCATCCACGGATCACCTAGCCTCTGCTCACGACCAGCACCTGCTTGCTGGCAGGGGAAAAACTTGTGGAAAAGTTTCTGGATGGCAAGTGTGCTGGGATTGGACAAAAACCTCTGATACAGTTTCTTAGGGCTCTTGCAATTGGAGGGGGATGGGGGAAGAGAGAGTGCAAACGGCTTGCTCCACAGGGTAGATTCACATGCTTATCATTAAAAAAAAAATGTAAGCAATCCCTTCCCCTTGCTCTCTACTTTTTAACTGAAAAGAACTTCTATTTGCATTCAACGACTATCAGGTTTAATGGTCTATCCCACTGCTTGTAGGTAGGGTTTTCTTGCCTTATGCATTTGGGATTCTTGTCTCATCTTGGAAATCCAACAAGGGAAATAGCTAAGCCAGTGGTTTTCAACCAGTGTGCCGTGGCACCCTGGGGTGCCTTAAATGATGGTCAGGGGTGCCACAGGGAGCACTGGCCTCCATCCCTCTTTCCTTCCCTCCCTCCTCTGATACCCTCTCACATCTCTGCTGCCCAAAGGCTGTTTGTGGCAGCAGCCCTGGCTACAAGCTCCCCAGGTAAACGGTGCTCTGGGGCTGGCCGGGGTGCTGGTTTCCAGGAGCTGAGGCAGCCTTGGAGTAAGCGAGTAAGCAAGCAAGTGGGGGAGGGAGCCCAGCCAGCCAGTCCACCAAGCCCTTCCTGTTGGGAATGGACAGACAAGTGGGAGGCTGGGAAGACGCTGCACATTCTTGTGCTTGCTGTGTGCAATGCTTGCCGAGAAGAGGGGAGAAGAGGGAACACTTCACAAGGAAGGGGTGAGGGGCTGCCAGCTCTGCAGGGAAAAGGTGACTTAACTAGGCTTCTGAGGCTCAGAGCATGTTTTCCCACGGGGGAGTCACAGAAAGAATGTAGTTGGTCAAGGGAGCCGTGGACTCAAATAGGTTGAAAACCTCTGAGCTAAGCAATTTGCTACTATGGTTAGCACAACAGCTCACCCTCTGATGATTTAGTTTAGTGCTAGGGCTGGGCAATACTTCCTTTTCAACATTGTGATATATCAGCAGCTAAATACCAGTATACGCTGACATATCACCATGACTGGAATTTATCTCAGCTGCTTCTTCCCACCTTTGGAAAGGAAGAAACAGCCGAGATACATGGCCCAGTCCTACACAGTGAGCGAGTCCCGATGCCTCTCAGGCTCATATGCAAGCCAAGGAGCATTGGGGCTTTGATGAACTGCTCAGCAGGGGGGTGGAAGAGGCCTCCCGTCCCCCAACTGAACGAGCCAGCGGTGGGCTGGAGGCTCCGTTAACTGCTTGGCTGAAGGGAGCGGCAACCATGCACCCCTCCGCTAAGAAGCGGAGGGAGGAACAAGCTGTATTGCGCCTCTCCAATACAGCTTGTTTCTCCCTCTTCCGGTGTGAGGGCAGAGTGGGATAGTGCCTTCACTCAGCTGTATATCGCTGGTGAAACTACTGCTGCTCCCAAGTCCCTCTGCTACCAGCGCCAGCTGGAGGAAGCCAAGTGGTTTTGCTTGCAATAAAGTGAAGCCACCATCACGGTGAGGACCCAGGCCTATTTAGTGCAAAAGGCAGCCTGCATGGATGTTGTTTCCATGTTTTCTGTGGGAAGCTATGTGGCTACATTTGGGGGTGGGAGGAAACAGATGTACGGCAGAATCCTAATAAATTAAGAAGTTGGTTATTCCTATTAAGCAAACAGCAAGAATAAAAACCTCACTCAAAATAAGTACTGTATTTAACTAATTAATCTCTTTAAGCCAGGGATGAAACTTGGGCACAGGAGGACTAAATAATAATAAATTATTATCATCACTACTAAAGCTACTACTGCTACTATTACCAACATTACAAAATTCCAGCTGTTTTCTATTTAGTCTTCACCAATACTGTATCAAGCCCTGACCAAGCCTTCACCTATGTCTTGAAGGTGCAAGATCCTTCAGTTAGCAGAACCATATGCTGCAAAGTTTTGCTAAGGTGTACCATCTCTGATTACAAGTAAGGAATGGCATGTTTGAATACTCTCTCATATAAAAAAAGCCTTCTGCAAATAGAACACTTGCACGTTAGGGACACAATTGCTTTTTTATTTTATTCAGTTGTAGTGGAGCAATGGAGACGTCTGGGGATAGGCAATTTGTGGCAATATCACAAATTTTAGGGTCTGTTTTTAGTATACCTACAATCCTTTGCCTACTAGGGGCTAACCCACATTTTCTTCAAAAAATTGCTTTGCACAGGTAACGACCATAGAGGTATTTTTTTTCAAAAGTAGGGGGTCCGTGGCTTTGGCTTTTAAAAAATAGGGGATCCTCAATAATTAGCTATCTGGGAACCACTGCTCTAGCCACAAACTGCAAATTACATACAAGAATACATAGGAATCCCCCAACCAAGGAAAAACAGTTTTCTGATGAGGAGATTAGGAGCACGGAAGCCTGCCCACCACATTTGCCCAGGAACTTTTTGTTCCCCCAGCTGATTTTTTTCCCTTTGCAGAATTCTAGACAAGACTTTATCTCCATTTACAAAATTCAAGTAGGACCCTGCAGGAGGCGCAGCAGGGATTGGGAATGCAGAGGAGGAAGCACAATTGCACACACCACTTCCATGTTCCTTGGCTTCTCCTCTCAACTCTGCTTTTCCTTAGGAGGGGGAGGAGAAGCCACCAGGAGCTGGCATGCCTGTGTAACATGTAGTTCTGCCCATCGTGAGCCCCACCCAGAATGCACAGCTGCTACTCAGACCACGCAATTGAAGATGCCGCTGCATGTTGATCCTACTCCATGTCCACCAGAGCTCTGGGGGACTAGAAATTGCTGCCAGCACTGGATTTCAGCTCCTCCAGGCTTTGATGTACTCATCTCAGGGGAAGGGTATATGCACCAGGGACTGTAAGCTGGCAGCGACAATTTATCTAGACTCTGGAATAAGATGGTCTGCAGATCATCATAAAAAAATTAAGAGCCACTCCTTTAGGCTATTTTATCTTGGAACCATAAAATAAGTAGCTGATGTTGACTGACAGCGCTGGACATGTGCAGCATCCATGTACTTCACTGGCAAATAAACAGACCTCAGTGAAGGGTACAGGGAGAAAGAGAAGCCAGAGATATGGAGAGACCCCGGATCAAATTACCAGTTGACATGGTTGAAAAATAACTCCTTTTTTAAACAGTTGGTTCACAAGATGCAAGGATACTTATGGTTTTCGAGAAAGAAGAAACTAAATGCCTTCCTACAGGACCCAGCTGATAAATAAACTTTCAAAAGGAGCCAAAGTTGACTTCTGGGAAAAATAACGCTATCAGTGACATATTTTCAAAATTTCAGCAGCATTACTAATGCAATAAGGCACATGCTGCACCATGAAGATGGTTGAGGAAATAAAGTGCCACCATGTTAATTAAATCAATTGTGTCTGATGAAGTAGACTCTGGTTGTTTTTTTAAAGAGGCTTATACCATAATAAATTTGCTAGTTTTTAAGGTGCAACAAGACTCGTTGCTGTATTTCCTGCAAGAGATAAACACAGCTGGGACTGGAAATTGCTGCCATCTACAGAAAAAGACTGCCTCTCAATCCCAGCCCGTCCCTTTTTAGCATTCAGTCAAGAGGAACAATGCTTCTATCTTTCCTTTTTATCAGCTTGCAGTATTTATTTTCTTGTAAATGGCAGTTCTGTTGACATTCAGAGAGGAAGGTAAACAGAAAGGACAAGTTCTCTGAGGCAGCAGTAACCAAAAGCCAATCAAACTGTCAACGCAGCTGGCAAGCAAGACTCCCCAACAACAGCAAGAAGAGCCAGCAGTTCAGAAATGCTGACTTATGAGAAATTTGATTATGATACACATCTTACAGGAGACTTAATGTTTTAATATTACCATGATTACTGTTTTCTTTTTAATTCCACACACTGCACATTTCTGTGGCTTCAATGTGTTAGAAATTGCTTTTTCTAGCGACAGCAGCAGGAACATAGCATAACAGACATGCTAGACATTTGTACCTCTCTCAGTGCAAAGCTGTCAATGTCCAGAAGTTTCTCAAATTTCTACACGAGAAGTTAAAAATTTGAAATGCAGTGGTACCTTGGTTGTCGAACTTAACCTGTTCCGGGAGTCCGTTCGACTCCTGGAACGGTCCAAAAACCAAGGCGTGGCTTCCGATTGGCTGCAGGAGCTTCCTGCACTCAGTCGGAAGCCACAGAAGCCATGTCAGACATTTGGCTTCCAAAAAACGTTCTCAAACCAGAACACTCACTTCCGGGTTTGCGGCGTTCCGGAGCCGATTTGTTCAACAACAAAGGCTTTCGACTACCAAGGTAGCACTGTACTCTTAAAATATCTGCACAGTTTGCCGCTAATAGTGAGCACAAGAAAACAAACTAATGGTTGGAGCTAATAGTGGTTTGTTTTCGTGGGGGGGGGGGTTCCCCCCGTCACACTTTGTCCTTAGTTCCTGTGATGCACCTGCTTTTCAAGGGCAATAAGGCAGTTTGTTGCAGGTGTGTTTTGCCAGCTAGAAATCAATTGTGGCAGCATCATAGATGTTTCTTAGATGCTGCTTTGGTGTTCGAGGCAAAAGTGCATTATGAGCCCTCCCCCCATCTCATTTTGAATGCTGTGCCCATTTTACAGTCCTCCTTCCCTTCCTCCTTTTAATATTTCTTTGGTGGGTGGTCCTCACCAATTTTAGTACTTAAGCATATACATGTAATAAAGAGAAAGCAGGATTCTTTCCCGCTGCCCATGTTAGGAAAGGCCTTAAATAATGGTTAGGTACAAGGGGGTCAATTTAAAAGATAGGGGCATAGGAACCTGCCATATGCCATTGGCTCATCTAGCTCAGAATTGTTTACACTGACTGACAGTGGCTGTCCAGGGATTCAGGCAGGAGTTGTTCACAGCTCTACCTGGAGACTGAACCTGGGTCCTTCTGCATGCAAAGCCGATGCTCTATCACCGAGCTACAACCCTTCCAGCAAGAAGACAGTTTCTGGTCACTAGTCAACCCTGTAATGATCTCATCTAAGTGCATTCAATTCAAACTAGTGTCTGTACTCCTGTCCAGATTTCATATCCCTATTTAGGCTATTTATATTGCACAAGCTTCTCATCTCCAATTCGCCCATAGCACTTCTCTTCCCCTTCTGCATTCATTTTAAGCAACATATGAGTCATAGCCAAAGAGCTCCCATCATCCACAGTCTACGCCACCCACTTTGCTTAGGTGTGCAATTACCTGATGCGGAGGTCATCATCCTCTGCTCCCCAGCCCCAGTAGTTGTTAGAAAATCCATTCACCTTGGAAAATTGCTCTCTTGTTAGAGCAGTTACACCCCCAAAGTATCCTTGGTAACGCAACCTAGAACACATAAGAAGTGGTGGAGAAAAGTCATTTCAGAAAGCGGCATAAACCCAAACGTGGCCTTTATCAAAAACTATTTTATAGCCAAAAAAAAGTTCAGTTACCCATCTGCTGAAGCAAAAAATTAATAATGAAGTGTGTGTAGAGATATGCTCTCAGGGGCCTTGCCATGTCCTGAGCAAGCAGTGTTAGTTCACCTATGGCATGAAATCTGACTCAGACATTTCATTCTGTGAAATGAGAAAAGCCCTACAGATATAAAATACAATGGACAGGACAACTGGTAGGGGAAGCTCCTTGAAGATGGGTAAGGCTGTGTACATATATACATAAAAGGCACTCCACATCTTTCTGCCAGGCTGGCAACTAGCAGCCCTAAGGCTAATTTTATGTAGCTGTTGGGTCTAATTTCAGAAGCCCTTTGTCCAGCATTCAGCTCATACCACCTGTAAGAATAACTCATCCATCCACCAGCAGCCTACTGCATAAGAAGAGAGGTGGAGCAGAAAGAGAATGGGGTAGTCCCACCCACACTTTGATCTGGGCCCACCTGCTTCTGGCTTCATGTGATGACATGTGGTCCCTTACAGATTACACTCAAGAGGGAGCAGAGTTGCTCACCCCCCTGCTTAGAAAAACATGCAGAGGAAAAAGTGAGTCATGCCAGGTCTCTCTCACCTTCCCAGAAACTGTATCCACCTTCTGTCTTATGATGGCTCCTAAGGCAAGCTTTTTTCTCATGGGGACCAAGATGGGTTGCAGTGTGTGTGTGCACGCGCACACACATGCACACAGGATGGGTGGCTAGGGTGCCTGCTTCAATTCTGCTTGCAAAATTCAAGCAATGGTAATCACCTGTTGTTAGCGTCCCTACTTGTATCACTATGAAAGGGCATGCAAATCAACTCTTCTTCAGAAGATGCAAGTTCTCTCCCCCAGCTCCTACCTGTAGCCTGTGCTGTTTCTACCCACTACCAAGTGCTTTGGCTGACTGCCACACATGTAAATGTTGAAGTCATTCTCTGGTACCAAGTCCACGTCATGGAATATGAAACAATCCCAGTTCTCTTCCTTCAGGGCCTCCAAATATCCCACATTCAGCAGTTTTGCTCTGTTAAACTTGGCACTGCCAGCCTGCAAACAAGAAAAGGAAGCAATTTACGTCAGACCTGTTAAAACTAAGTAAACTTCCTATCAGGATGCTCTCCTGATCACACGTTTACAGTATCCTTTCCTGGCTCACAGCAACTGTACCACAAAAGCAGCTGTGGGATTGAGAGAAAAGGTAAGGGAAATATTATAAATGAATATGTGTGTTTTGAGCCCAATCCAGCTCTAGCTGCAAACAACTCGTCTTGCATATACAGTGTCTCTCATCCCATCAGCAGCCACCCTTCCTGGCTGCCTGTAAAGGAGAACACAGGGCAGCAACGGTGCCCTCCATTAACTTGGCTGAGACCCGCTACCGTTTGACTGCTCCCCTCCTAGAACTGCCTCAATCAGTAGCTCTTCCATCTGAACTACTGCTAAGACCATTGGCTGCTTAATCTATTCAAATGTCTTGTGGTTGTTTTTACCTAGGTCTTGGGCTAAATTGGAAATTTTATTTTTTGTTCTTGTAGTTTTACTTGTTTACCTTATAACAGAATTGTTAAGTTGCTGGGGAAGATCTCCACAACCCATGGTCATTGACTACAACAGAGGTATGATAATTTAAACATTTAGTATTCAGTTTGCAACTTAAGTTTTAAAATACAGGGGTATGGACTCCTTTCTTGGAATGACAGTATTAATCATCTGCTTGTTTACCCAGAAGTAAGTCCCACTGTGTTCAATGGGGCTTATTCACTAGTAAGAATAATTAGGACTGCAGCCTCAAACTTATATTTTGCATTGTAAAGTTCACTAACATTGGCCATAATTCATTCACTCTACAATAAAAGATGATTTTAAATTGAATATTAATTTCCTTTCTGTGTAACAGACAATATTGTTTTGCCCCCACTTATTCTTCTACAAACATATATAAAAAATACATATTTTCCTTCTCTCTTTTAACATTGAGAGAAACTCCTTCAGCAACCTAAAGCCTGTTATAATGGCAAGGATGTGTATACTTTCTTATGGAGAACAGAGACACTCACAAAAATATTCAGAACTCTTCCGGAATAGCATTCACCAGGCAAACAGGAAATGAATAAAAGATGAAAAGCCTTCTTAAAAGGAAAAAAGAGCTCCTCTTTTCTCTTGCATACAGAGCTGGTTTTATAAAAACCAAGTATTGACAAATGAATATTAATGGCATACTATTAGCTGCTTTTGTTTTAAATTAGACTGAGACTGCCAAGATGAAGCAAGTTGTCACTTCAGCACTGAACTTGAGACTCTAGGCAGCTTCAGGCAAAAAGCAGGTGCTGCAAAAGGACAGGTGGTCCACCTAGCTCAGTATTGTCTCCAACAGGGGAAAGGAATCTTTGAACTCAAGAGCCACATTTGTTCCTGGGCAGCCTTCCAAGGGCCAGGTGTCAGTAGGGGCAGGGCCAAAGGCAAAACGTAATGCCTCGGTAAAAATGAAATAAAAATCCTACCCTTGTATAGTAGGGTAGTTTCTACACACATTCACACTCTCATCTTATCCTCCATCCAGATGAGCAAGAGGCATATTTTATTTTTTTATTATTGTTATTATTATTACTACTACTACCCCGCCCATTTGACTGGGTTGCCCCAGCCACTCTGGGTGGCTTCTAGCTTATATAAAAACATAATAAAACATTAAACAATAAAAAGATCCCTATACAGGGCTGCCTTCAGATGTCCTTCTGAGTTCAAGGATACATTCCAGTCAGGCAAACAAACGCAAGAAGGGTGTGAAACTGGGACAGACCTGGGTAGAGGTCTGAGGGTCACAGAGAGAGGCCTGGAGGGCTACATTTGTCCTCCAGGCCAGAGGTTCCCCAGTCCAGGCCTATAATGACTTGGAAGCAGCTCTTCACAGCTTCAGACAAGGGTCTTCCTTAGGCCTACCTGGAGATGCCAGGATCGCTGTATAGAAACTCAGTGGAAAGTGGAAAGAAGTTCTAGCCAAGTGTACAACACTTGCAACATACTTCAGTGTTCTGCCAGGAAAGCTTATCTAAAAATTTAGCCCACCTCGCCTGATTAGATGACGAATACATGTGCAAATATTACTTCTGAGCAGAAAACTGGTGCAGTTTAAGGAATGGAACTCTCATCCCCTAGCCCCAATAATTTGTATTATTCCAGGAGATTTGGAAATGGTTATCACATTCCTCATTTAGGTTCCCACTAAGCCAGAATGTAATTGTCTACAAAAGAGCATCAAACCTATGTCAATTTGGTCTACTTAAGAGTAGTACATCCATCATGGAACTCAAGGTGGTGGACATGGGATTCCCAAGCCTCCTATCCAAGCCCTGACCAGACCCAACCTGCTTTGCTACAGCGATGTGGCTGCATTATACCCCCTCTGACCCCGTCTTGTTCCTAGCCTACAAGCCTAGGAACAGGAGCAGCCAATAAAATAATGGATAGGTAAAGCAGCTCTGGAGGGCAAGAGACCCAGATGTACCATCTCCAGTTTCCACTGTAATCCTTTTTTAAAAAATAAAAAATTGACTAGATAACATATTATTTATGAATAGGAGACTGACTTATGAAACATGAAGCGTGAGCCAAGAATGTGTGTCTCTATTGCTATAAATGCTGCCACATTTTGCACTCAAGGGAAGATGAAGGCCAAAGAACATTTTATTCTTTACAAAAACCACCACCTCTAAAGCAGTGAGTGCAAGGGAACTTCACCAAGCATAGCCGAAGGAAGTCAGGCACACACGAAAACGCGAGCCAAGCCCCAGGACACAAACAGGCAATTATTTGAGCAAGACACATTTCTCAAGCCTGGCAGCTTTGAGAACAATGCTCTACCAACAGTGCATAAAGTTAATTTGCCACCCGCTCCGCTTAATTCATCTGATCTGCTTTAAGCTCTTGCAGCAGAAGACGAAACTCATCAGCACCAGTGCACATGGGGACTCCTAACCGCTGGTAACACACTGATATGGATTTGTATCAGGACTGGGGGAAACGATGTGGAATGTGCCTGAAGCAGAGTTCTGATCCCCAATTGCACAAACAGACACAACAGTCAAAAGACCTCTAGGCACAACCACAGGGCAGGAAGGTTTGGATTCACCCCTCATCTCTAGCTGCAGATGTTTTGTATGGACCCACCTGGTGGATGATATAAATGCCATAGTCCAGCTGCTGCCGCTGCAGAAATGGGTGAAGGTGCTCCAGCAGGTACAACAAGTGCTTCTCTCGGTTGCGATGTGGAATCAATATTGCGACACGTTGCTGAGCTAAGCAGCCTTCTGGGCGATGGCGTCCCTTTGACACTCGAGGATTCTCTTTCTGCACCTCCTCCAGGGTGAGAGATGCCTTAAAGAAAAGCTTGCTAGGGCCTCCTATGGGAAAAGGCATGACTTCAGTCTCATCTTTGTAAACTATAAACACAGCTGCTGTAAGCCGTAAGAGCAAATTAATTTAAATGCTTAGGAATCTGCGAAGCCATTTCGGAGACTGAGGAGGTTTATTTGATGCTTTGTTTTTTAAACTTGGAACTATACACTAAAATCTTTTGTAAGCAGCTAGATTTGGCCAGTTAGAACTGGATATGGAACAACTGATTGGTTCAAAATTGGGAAAGGAGTATGGCAAGGCTGTATATTGTCTCCCTGGTTATTTAACTTATATGCAGAATTCATCATGCGAAAGGCTGGACTGGATGAATCCCAAGCCGGAATTAAGATCGCCGGAAGAAATATCAACAACCTCAGATATGCAGATGACACAACCTTGATGGCAGAAAGTGAGGAGGAATTAAAGAACCTTTTAATGAGGGTGAAAGAGGAGAGCGCAAAATATGGTCTGAAACTCAACATCAAAAAAATGAAGATCATGGCCACTGGTCCCATCACCTCCTGGCAAATAGAAGGGGAAGAAATGGAGGCAGTGAGAGATTTTACTTTTTGGGGCTCCATGATCACTGCAGATGGTGACAGCAGTCACGAAATTAAAAGACGCCTGCTCCTTGGGAGAAAGGCGATGGCAAACCTAGACAGCATCTTAAAAAGCAGAGACATCACATTGGCAACAAAGGTCCGTATAGTTAAAGCCATGGTTTTCCCAGTAGTGACGTATGGAAGTGAGAGCTGGTCCATCAAGAAGGCTGATCGCCGAAGAATTGATGCTTTTGAATTATGGTGCTGGAGGAGACTCTTGAGAGTCCCATGGACTGCAAGAAGATCAAACGTATCCATTCTTAAGGAAATCAGCCCTGAGTGCTCACTGGAAGGACAGATCGTGAAGTTGAGGCTCCAATACTTTGGCCACCTCATGAGAAGAGAAGACTCCCTGGAAAAGACCCTGATGTTGGGAAAGATGGAGGGCACAAGGAGAAGGGGACGACAGAGGACAAGATGGTTGGACAGTGTTCTCGAAGCTACAAACATGAGCCTGACCAAACTGTGGGAGGCGGTGGAAGACAGGAGTGCCTGGTGTGCTCTGGTCCATGGGGTCATGAAGAGTCGGACACGACTAAACGACTAAACAACAACAACAAAGATTTGGCCAGCAAAGGGGAGGATGATTGGAGGCGGGCAAGCAATATTCTTTCTCAGTGTGGTCAGCTGTCAATTAGGCCTTCCATCCAGAGGTTCTCTGGGGCTCCTACCTTTGACTCTGTACCATAATCCTAAGAGCAGGCTAGAAACATAACCCCAAAACTGGGAACTAGTAACCGCAAACCATAAAGGGAACTCTGTAAAAATTGTAAAGCAGTGGAAGGTAAGATGACCACAAGTTCATCATCCCTGTTATCAAGATCAGACTCATATATTATTCGTGTGGTACAGGAATAGCTTTTCCACTTGGTCCAGCAATATCTGAATAGTGGAATCATGTGGGGTGCCTCAATTATGGAGGAGATGCTCACGTTAGCACTGTTGGCTGCCATCTCACAGGTTTCAGCATAGAAATGGAAATTTCTCAAAGGATCTCCATGGAATTCTAATATTTGTTGGCATAGGATTCAGCCACAGAACTGTGACATATGAATCATGTTTTTGAATAGTACTAGAAGATATGTCAGATGGAGAAATGTAACGCCAGGAGGAAAACAGAATGCTGATTTTTACAAGCTACAAGTGTTTTCTCATCTATGTGCAAATGACAAATTCTCCTTAAGACAGGGATAGGAACTGGATCTGGACAGCAGGCTGGATCCCTATCTCCCCCACCTACTGTGGGCCAAATGTGAAAGGTGGGAGGGACTGCCCACCTGTCAGTCACCTGACATCACAATGACACCAGTTGACCTGTTTTCATCCCACGAGGCCTGCAAGCCCTGACAATCAGCTGATCATTGGTGTTTGCAGAGAGCCCTGCACAGCTCTTTGAAGCCCTGACAATCTGTTGATAGTTGGGGCTTCAAAGCCTAATGGACAGCTCCCTGCTAGCTCCACCAATCACCTGATCATTGGTGGCTTGCAAGAACCACACAGAGCACTATACGCAGGGCTCTGCAGGCGCAATCTCCTTTTTGGCACAGCTGCGACTTTACCTGCCTCACTCCCAACACCTTGTATAACATCGGGGTATGGCAGGTGGATACAGCTTTGTCAAATCAGCCTTGCAGGTCCAATGGAGAGGCATGGCAGACCTGATTAGGCCCACAAGCCTGAAGTCTCCCCCCTCCCCACCAATGCCTTAAGGATTTTTTGGGGGGGGAGGAATCCTCCCCTCTTTGACTTCTTAGCTAAAGCCCCAAAATCCATGAAGTCTTGCTTTAAGACTGAGATTGGAAAACATGAATCAACTTACGCAGATACGGAGACAGAGAGGGACACGGGGGCCTCATTATGGGCAGTTTCACAGTAGGCATGGTGCTCTTGTCTGGATTTTCTGTTCGCTCCTCTGTGATAGTGGTTGGTTTTCGGAAACTCCCCACGATGCTTTTTGCTCTTGGAGTTTCGTGCACGGCATCCACTAGGTAAGTGGAAGTGGCCCAACCCACCAATAAGACACACAAGGTGAATAGCATGAGCAGCTTGAGCTTGTAGGAGACGTGAAGGCTGGCATAGCTCAAGCCCATGGCCTTGCCTGGTTTATATGCTGCTCCCTCGACACTGTCCTTGACGTCTCCTTGTCACAGTGCACTTCGAGGAGAGCAGGAAAGTCAAGACGAAACAAGGAGTTCTGTGACACCGCATTCTGACAAGTCTCCTCTGACTTTTGAACTCATGTCTTTCTAGCTGAACGATAAGCGGAAGGCAGGCATTACAAGAGTCGACCTGTTCAGAGAGAGACGAAAAGGTCATTCTATGCCATCACCCCTCCACCCTTTAAACAGAAGCGCTGTGCAAAGGCTGTGAAACCAAAATACACAGGCCATGGGAAAGTGAGGTTTTCTTCCTCCCTCTGTAATAAATCAAGCTCCAAAACTGCAACCTTAGTACATAGATAAAATCTTAATTTCCCTAGTGTTAGGGAAGCAGTTGTGAAGAAACTATAGCTCAGTGACAAAGCGTATTTTTGCATGCAGAAGATCCCTGGCAAGAGAGGATGAATAGAGTAGGAAAGACCCCTCTACCTAACAGCCTGGACAGCTGCTAGATAGACAACTGGGGTAGGTGGAGAGCAGTGTCACCTGGTATAAGGAAGCTTCCTGTGTACCTATATTCTGTGGGGCAAGAGAGCATGTGGGCTGCATGAGTGGAAGTTTTGGATTATGCCCCCAGTGAGTACAGAGTCTATTTAGTTGAGAAGAGATGTTATAGCAACCAATTAGTATAAATGCTGTTCAAGAAACATATGAATTACCTAAGAACCTAGAATCATAATATTGCAGAGTTGGAAGGGATCACAAGGGTCATCTAATTCAACCTCCTCCAATGCAGGCATCTTTTCGCATGAAGTAGTCACAAGTTACAAGCTGTTCAAGAAATGTATGAACTCCCCTTTTCTTGGGTGATTCAAAAAAAGCACTCTGGGTCAGGTAGAGTTTAAAGCAGTCTTCCCCATCTTGGTGCCCTCCAGATATTTTGGTCTATCGGTTCCATCACGGCTAATGTTCAGGGATGATGGGAGTTGTAGTACATAAAAACAGGAGATATACTCCTGTGGTGGGCGACTTTTTTTTGTTGGGGGTGGTGAGTAGCAGGTAAACCAACTTGTAATCATTTTGGTGAAAGGTGGCATACGATGATTTTAAATAAACAGCTGTCAGGTGGACAGTTTTCTTGCTGGGGACCCAGCCCAGGGGGAACAAGTTATCTCAGCTTGAAAAAGAAAAGATGAAAGGCTGGACACCTGGGGCACAAAACTCCCTCACATCTCCCCGGAGTAGTTTTTAAGCCTAAATAGAAAAATTGAGCACAATATGATTGCACGTTTAAATAATCATACATAGGAAAGAGAAAGTGAAGGGAACCAAAACACATGCGGACTCCTATTTTCATATACATTTGAAAGCAGCCTTTAAAATCCCACCCCCCAGCTTCTCCTCATCAGCCATATCATCCTAAGATGACAAGGTAGCATTAGAATAGGGCAAGTCACCAATGGTTCCTCCCCCTGCAAGTACATTATTAATACAACAGTAGGAGAAATGTAATACAGAAGGGTAAAAAACAAGCTCATTAAATGCTAAACACACACACACACACATGCATATTGATCAATCTGCAAGTTCAAGCATGGCATTTCAGTCTCAGCTCAGCAAACAGCTATGCAAAAATGAAGTAGGGAGGCTGAAGCATGTACTCTGAATATATGATCTGATGGCAGGTAGATAGGCAAGGTACGTGATTTTGAGGCATGCATCTTTGCAATGCTATGTGCCAAACAAATGATGCAGGAAAAATAGGGAGATAAATACACTGGGGTTAAAAAGTGCAATATCAACTAAGCAGAAATTTTAAAAAAGTTGTAGAAAGTGATTAAATATGTAACAGGGATAGAAAAATAAAAAGCACAAGAATTAAGCCATTGCATGGACAGTTTCTCACATGCAGTATCTTGTTTCCACTTGTTAAAGTTACTAGTTTGTGGCAAGCTCTAAAACCAGCAAACTATGATTCGCACCTGCCCTCTAAGCATATAATGCTTTGCAACAAACCTGCAACTTACTAAGCAAGTGGAATATACAAGGAAAGATGACAAAAAGGGTTTTTTTTCCCATACCACCAACTCATGAGATGTGTAGTTTCAGGGTTCACTATGTTTTGTAATTTGTTTCTTGTAATTGTATGTTTTTGTTTAACCATTTTTAATGTATTTTTAAATTGTTGTAACCCACCATGATACCTTAGGGTGAAGGGCAGATAATAAATAATAATGTTAATACACATTCAAAATAAGCAATATGGCGAAAGGCACTGTGATCGTGAGACCTCAGGACATGGTGTAGCAAGTATAGGATATATTATCTGACGGTGCAAGTATAGGATATATTATCTGACGGTGTTTTGTTGTTTTCCAGTATTAACTATGGACTGCAGCTTTGGCAGTAATGCTCATTTATTTATTCACAATTATATATAGCAATGGTGTCTTTGTGTATTGAGAAATGGCTGCAAATAGGAGACTGCAAGGTTCTGTATTGACTTGGTGTGGATATATGCCATTGAATGGAAAAGGCCTGTGTTTTTCTCCCCAGTAACTAATGGCCCATTTTAAGCATTTGAAAACCACAGACACAAAGACACTGCATAAATAAATTTATAAAGCGGGAGTGGGGAACAGTTTTTCAGTCCAGGGGCTGCATACTCTTGCAGTCAACCTTCTGGATGCCATATGTCAGAGCTGTGTGACAAAAAAGGGGATGAGGCAACAGATGTGACTCTCAGATTTGTACAGAAGGCTAAATTCCAGCAAAAGAAAAATTCAGAGCTTTCTACGTGCACACACACACATCCACCCAGGCACTCAAGGAGAGAGCAGGGCAGGGCCAGTGAGGGTGCAGCCTGGGGAAAGTCCCAAGGGCCAGTCAAAGAAGCACCCAAGCCTTGGGTTCCCCGCTTCTGTGTTAGGCTATCTCATACAGAAAGACATGTGGTGCAAGCACGAAATAAGACACAGTGGAACCTCGTGTTACGGACGGGATCCGTTCCAGAGGCCCGTCCGTAACACAGAACTGACACAAGCATGAAGTGCCACATCTGCGCACGGCGCGATTTAGCGCTTCTCTGCATGTGGCAAAACCCGGAAGTAACCCGTTCTGGTACTTCCGGGTTGCCGTGGGACATAACACGAAAACACGTAACCTGAAGCGGACGCAGCATGAGGTATGACTGTACTGACTGGGCCATGCTGTTTTTATTGCAATTATCTGTATGTGGTTTTTTTAATTTTTCCACCCCCACCCCACTTTCAGCTGTTCTTATTTTAATCTGTAAGCCACCTTAAGTCCCTGTAAGGGGAAAAGATGATGTAATAAATATAACAGAGCATTAACTTTGCGTGCAGAAGGCCTTAGGTTTAATCCCCAGCATCTCCAGGTAAGACTGGAGAGAAGATGCCAGTCAGTTCAATAGGGAGCTAGATGGACTAAGAGTCTGACTTAGTATAAAGCAGCTTCCTATGCTCCCAAAGGAAATTTTAGGAGAACATCAGAAAAGGCTGGAAAGCACAGACTAAGTTCATTTGCATTCCTTACACATGCAGGCAGATACACTTCTACCTAAAAACAAACAAACCCTGAAGACAAGGTCAGCTGAAAATACCGACAAGAGATAACCTGAAAGTGAAAGAACTAAGACCTGAGTTCAATGAATGCTTTTAAATTCACCCCTTTCCTGACTTTCATCATTTCTAATATGGCTTCAGCTGTCCTTCTTGCTCTCTACGCTGAAAATCCTTCCACTGGAGTAAACGTGATCAAGCTCCCATTTAGCCTGGTCCATTCAGCCTGCAACAGAGACTCGAGTCAAAGATACAACTCATCCACTCGCTCCCGTTTCCTTCCTGCTGTTTGAGCCAAGAGAAAGCGAGCCCCTTAGACTTACTTGATCCTGCCACCGCTGCTCCTCTTCCTGCTGCGGTGAAGCTGTTTTGTCCTTATCGCAGCTACGAGGGCTCCAGTGCCAAGTGGCAGGGCACTTTTCAGACCTGAAACCCCACACCATAAAGGAACCTCTGTTGCCTCTCAGGGATTCAGGAGGAGTCTGCTCAAAACTGCAGGAGCCACTGAAAGAAAAGTCAACAGTTTCAGCCTTCCCCTGTTAGAACGCCACTCCCTCACCCCTTCCGAGACATTTAATTCCTCCCACCACTTCTCTTTTCTTTCTAGCAAGATGTGAAAAGAAGCCACATCAGGGAAATTCTGGAGAGCTGGAGCAGGGAAACACTCACAGATGCCTGTGCAAAAGTGGCCTCACAAAATCGGTTGCCAAAACATACAAGGCCAGATTTATTTCTGTCCTGCAGGTTTCTCTGCCTTTGTAGGAAGTCATAGATCACAGAACTGTAGAGCTGGAAGGGGCCACGAGGGTCATCTAGCCCAACCCCCTGCAATGCAGGAATCTTTTGCCCAATGTTCATGACCCTGAGGTCATTTTGCCCAATGTGAGGCTTGAGCCCACAACCCTGAGGGTAGGAGTCTCATGCTCTACCAAGTGAGCTGTCCCAGCTTCAAGATATACCACCAATTTCTTTGTGAGTTAAATGTACCATATATGCCACCCACACAGAATAGCTCCTGGGTTAATAATAAATAAAACCAGTTTGGAGAAGAGCTGATTCTTCTACATCAGTAATCAGACATGTGCTTTGAATGCAGACAGCCCAAAGTACAATCCCCGGTGTCTTCAAGAAGGGGTAAGAAGGTTCCCTGCCTTAAACCATGGAGAGCAGCTGCTAGTCAGGGAGTGGACAATACAGAACTCAATGAACCAGTGGTCTGACTCAGAATAAGGTCAGTTTCCTACGTTTCTGGTCTATAAACATGAAAAGGGAAACAACATATAAAGACCAGAGTGGGAATCAACTAAATTTTACTTAGTAGACACAATGAAATTAATCAACATGACTAAGTTAGGTCCATTAATTTCAATAGGTCTACTCTGAGCTCAATCGATGCCACCCCAGCATAGGAATAGCAGTTTCCCACCCTCCTTACCCTGCACTTTGCTTCTTCACTTACATGTTACAAACCCTGCTAAGGAGTTTTAGCAGCCAAAGTGCTCCCAAATTCAACAGTTATGTAAGAAGCAAGTTGCCCGGGAAGTCCAACATGTTTGTAACAAACAGTTTGTATAATCTGGTCTGGAAATGAAACCTGAGGACTCAAGTGAATGCATAGGAGCAGAATTTCAACCAGGCTTTAACCAGGTTAACACTTAAGTTTATATGTGATCTGAGAACCACAATGCAGCTGCATTACTAGCATCTGTCTTGTTTAATTTGGTTCATTCACCCCCCAAAAATCACTTTATAGCCATTTAATAAATAACAGTCATTCTTGTTTCAATCTAAACTTATGATATATCCTAGGAAACGTTTCCTTCCGCTTCGTGCTTAGGAAATCTAGAATTTCAGATGTCCTCTGACAAGTAGTAATAAACTCTAGTTTTATGATCTGTTTGCCAGTCTATAAAGGAAACGAAACACTTTTTCTGCTGCCTTCTGTACACTAGGCATAATTACTGAAATTCCCTATGCCAGATAAGACAACAGACTCTGGATAATAGGTGTCAAGTGGAGAATGTAATCTCCCTTTGTCCTCCTACAGCTTCCAGCTGGTTGTGCTGTAGGTGCTTAAACAGTGACCTTCATTTAGGAAAAGTACGGTAATCTGTTCTTGCTCCATTGAAATCAATGAGGCTGGTTAGTTGTAATCCAAGCATATTCTATTCATTTATGTGCGGCTTCGGGCATCATTAAATTTTTCTGGCTTGGCTCCAACACTTAGAGCAATTACTAATATTAACTTCAAATGTGATAAAGCAACTTTCTGAGTATATAAATATCCTGCTCCTGGGAGCTGGAAAGCAAAGGATCCAATTCATTCTGGGAATCTTGCACTATATTTTGGAACTGCTGCCCTGGTGAGAAAAAGCAGTGTACCTTGCAGATGCTAGAGAGCAAGGCAGTTTCTATTAGCAAAACCAAAGAAAAAGTCAGCCACACATATCGAGACAAATTATTTCCTCAGGTGATGATTGCATCCAGAAAATTAATTAGAAGTTGGTTCAATTAAAAGAGGTGCAGCAACTCCTGTGCACAAACACTCATTAAGTTTCAGCAATAAAAGGGAGCAATAAAAAGACCCATGCTGGGATGGGAGAGGCAGCAAATTAAATAGCAGGCTCTGAACTTCCGTCTCCTGTCTGTTGAGGCACTGTCAGCACTCATTTGATGTACAACAGCTGCAATCCTAATCCTGGTGCATTCCCTGGTGCTGCCACATAATGATGCATACGGTGGGGCTATAAGGCAAGGTTAGTAGCAACAACCCTAAAGAGCCCTCTCTTCCTTTTAATTTCACCGCCTGCAACTTCACCTTGTAGCCACTGCCCACTTTGGCCCTGCTGCCAACTTCAAAGACTGGGGTTACTAAAAAAAAAAAAAAATCCTTCCAGTAGCACCTTAAAGACCAACTAAGTTAGTTCTTGGTATGAGCTTTCAAGAAAATGGCCAGGACTTTGCTCCAGATAGTTTTCAGGTAGAGGAGCACAACTCAAACTGCACAATCCTTCTGTCAAAGCAAAGCACACTTCAGTTGTGTCAAACTGGCTCAGCATCTTTCAGAGCAAACAGCAGCAGGAGGGGGGGATGAGAAGGCTTTTTTGGGGGGGGGAACCAGTGTGACAGACTCTGTTGTGAGCTCAATTCATATTGCCCCCGAACCCAAGGCTTCTTTTTATTCTTCAAAATAAAGAAACAGCAACATCTGGTGCACTTTTCAAAAAGCATGATTAAAACGAAGTATGATTTGGCCCCTAAAAGGAACTTGCAGGAGGAACAAAAAAAATTCCTTCCAGTAGCACCTTAAAGACCAACTAAGTTAGTTCTTGGTATGAGCTTTCGTGTGCATGCACACTTCTTCAGATACACTGAAACAGAAGTTGCCAGATCCTTCTATATAGTGAGAAGGTGGGGAGGGGTATTACTCAGAAGGGTGGTGGGAATGGGTGATTGGCAGATAGCTGTGATGAGCCTGTTGACGACTCTTAACGACTGCAATAGGTCTTACAGGAAAAAGCAAGGGGTGAGAAGGTGAAAAATGGCTTTGTCATGTATAATGAGATAAGAATCCAATGTCTTTGTTCAGACCAGGTCTCTCCATGGTTTTAAGTTTCGTAATGAGTTGCAATTCAGCAGCTTCTCTTTCCAGTCTATTTCTGAAATTCCTTTGTAGTAAAACAGCTACTTTGAGATCTTGTATAGAATGTCCTGGGAGATTGAAGTGTTCTCCTACTGGTTTCTCTGTCTTGTGATTCTTGATGTCAGATTTATGTCCGTTTATTCTTTGGCGTAAGGTTTGGCCTGTTTGTCCAATATAGAGAGCTATAGGACACTGTTGGCATTTGATGGCATACACAATGTTAGACGATGAGCAATTAAATAGTCCCGAGATGGTATGTGTGATGTTGTTGGGGCCAGTAATGGTGTTGTCCGGGTGTATGTGGCAGCAAAGTTGGCATCTGGGTTTATTGCAGGCTCTGGTGCCAGTGTCCGTGTTAAGTCTGGTTGTAGTATTATTGTGGGTTAGGAGTTGTTTAAGATTGGGTGGCTGTCTGTAGGCAATGAAAGGTCTTCCTCCCAGAGCTTGAGAAAGAGAACTGTCATTGTCCAGGAGAGGTTGTAGATCTCTGATGATGCTTTGTACTGTTTTAACTTGGGAGCTGTATGTGATGACTAGAGCAGTGTTTCCCAACCGGTGTTCCGCGGCACACTAGTGTGCCGCGAGACGTTGCCTGGTGTGCCACGAGATGTTGCCTGGAGGGAGGCGGGCGAGTCGGGCGGCGAGAGGCGGGGCGGCGGCGGCGAGGAGAGGCCGCCCAGCGCGGGGCTCTCGCCGTCTGCCTGCCTGGCTGCCTGCGTGGCGCTGACGTCACGGGGCTGTAACGTGCCCCACATAGGCACACGCGGGGCGGCGAGCGAGCTCCCTCCCACATCCCATCGCCGCTCGCTTCGGCCGGCCTACTGGGCTGTCGCAGGCGGAAGGCCTGCGCATGCGCGAGGTTTTTGCGCCTTCGGGATTCCCTTCACGCCTTCCTCCTCCCGGGTCCTTGAGAGCGCGGGAAGCGGCAGCGCGAGACCGGCGTTGAGCCTGGTAGGTATTGCGCTTGCCAAGGCAGTCATTTGGGAAATGAAAACTTGCAAAGCAAGCAACCAGTTCAATCTGAAGTACGTGTATGCTTAATATCCTGTATCTGAAACCTGTTCTGCCCCCTCCCCCACACTTGGTGCCATTTTCATCTGCACATGCAGCAGAGTAAGTTGACCCAGAATAGTACCAATTCAGGTGGCAGATGGGAGAATGACAGTGCTGAATGCTTTCCCATGTAGAACAGTCCCTGCAAATAAAAACCTAGCATATTTGGAAGAGGGATGCTAGCCTAACCATTACCTTCTATGCTGTTACTATTTTTTTTTTTTTTTTACATAAGTAAAAAGTGACCTTTCCCCATCTGGCATGGTGGTGTGCCTCGAGATTTTTTTCATGAAACAAGTGTGCCTTTGCCCAAAAAAGGTTGGGAAACACTGGACTAGAGGTGTTCTGTTATTTTCTTTTTTGGGTCTGTCTTGCAGCAAGTTCTCTCTGGGTATCAGTCTGGCTCTGTTGATCTGTTGTCTAACTTCATCTGCTGGGTATTTTAGTTCTAAAAAGGTTTGCTGTAGATCTCTTAGGTGAGAGTCTCTGTCTGTAGAATTGGAACAGATACGGCTGTAACGTAGTGCCTGGCTATATACAATGGACTGTTTGGTATGTTTGGGATGGTAGCTAGAGGCATGTAGATATGTTTGTCGGTCAGTTGGTTTACGGTATAAGGTGGTGTCTATGCGCCCATCCTGTATTTTTATAGTAGTGTCCAAAAAATGTATTTCTTGCATAGATTGATTCATTGTTAACAACCTAACAATGAATCAATCTATGCAAGAAATAC